TTGCTTGCCGGCTTGACATGCACTACAAAGCTTGTCCTTTTCAAACTTCACATCCTTCAACCCTCTCACCAAATCATTTTTCATTAGCTTCTTGAGTGAGCTTATCCCAACATGAGCAAGTCTTCTATGCCATAGCCACCCAAGTGTTATTTTGATGAATAGGCAAGTCTTCAAGTTAGCATCTTCGGAGGTGAAATCCACTAGATATAGATTGTTGTATCTAAATCCCTTGAATATCACTTGGTCATCATCCTTCTTAGATACAACAACTTCCTTCTCGGTAAACGAGCATTGAAAGCCAAGATCACACAATTGTCCAACGGATAGCAAGTTGAAGCTCAATGAAACAACATATAGCACATTTGAGATAGAATGATTATTTGATATTGCCACTTTGCCCAATCCTTTAACCTTGCCATTTGAGTTATCTCCAAATGTGATTCTTTCTTGTCCATCTACTTCTTCATCTAGTGAGGTGAACATATGAGGATCACCGGTTATATGTTGTGTGCAACCACTATCAATTACCCAATGACTTCCACCGGTCTTGTAGTTCACCTACACATAAGAGATCAAGCTTTAGGAACCCAAACTTGTTGAGGGCCCTTCACCTTCTCAACAAGTGACTTTGCTACCCAATTTTTCTTAGGCCTATTCTTGTTGGGAGGTCCTAAGAACATGACTTTCATCTTTCCACTAGAATCTTTTCTAAGCATGTAATGAGCATTGAAAGCAAAAGGTCTAGCATGCTTGGGCAAGGGTTGTGGTGGTGGAGTTTGGCACTCATGGGCAAAATGACCTTCTTGTTCACACTCAAAAGACTTCTTTGGCTGTCTTTTGTTGTTGTTGAGTTTGAGCCTTCTTCTCTTTGTTTGCCATGTACCCAATGCCACTTCTATCCATCTTCATGACGGTGTTCATTAGTAGCTCACTTTGAAGATGCTTGCCTCTTGTGAACTTGCTCAATCCAATCTTGAGATGCTCTTTCTCTAACTTGAGCTTCTTATTTTCTTCCTTGAGTGCATCATTATTTTTCTCTTCCTTGAGCTTCTTGTTTTCTTCTTTGAGCTTCTCATTCTCACGAATCAAATCATCATCATGATCAAGAGTTTCTAGCACAATAGTGTTGTGGCTTTTGATCTCTTCAAGATCTTTCTTGAGCTTTTCATTATCATTTTTGAGCTTGACAAACTCATCATAATCTTTGGTCTCAACCACTTGCTTGCCCTTGCTACTAGAACTTTGCTCAATGCTCTCAATGATCAAATCATCACATGATGTAGCTATATCAATCTTAACAACATTGTTAGTAGCATCATGTGGCTCATTGGATAAATATTCTTGAGCAATGACAAGATTATCATGATTAATCTTAAGAGTAGTATATTCTTCTTTTAGCATGTTGTGGCTAGTGATGAGCTAATTGTGTATCCTCTCAAGTTTATCATAATTATCTTTAAGCTCTTTCTTAGAAGATTTGAGCTCCTTAAGTTTGGATGATATAGCATCATTTGCTTCTCTAAGCTCAATACTAGCCTTTTCGGCTATATCACATTTAGCTAAAAGAGAATCATTTTTAGCTTCTAGTTTTTCATTCTTAACTCTACTCTTTCTAATGATCTTAGTGTATTGATTTAGCAATTTAACAAGATCATCATAAGAAGGTGATTCATATTCATCATCATCACTATTGCTATCATCATTGCTCGCATGTTCATCACCACTATTGTCATCATTTGATACCTTGCGATCACCCTTGGCCATAAGGAATAGGTGTGTAGAGGATGATGGCGGTGGTGGCGGTGAAGATGATGAAGAGTCAATAACAATGGTGGCCACCTTCTCGTTGTCACTATCATCATCGGATGAGCCACTAGATGAATCAATGTCCGTGAGCCAATCACCGACGATGTATGCCTTTCCACTTTTCTTCTTCTTGTGTAAGTCTTTCTTCTTGCCATCTCTCTTCTTGTATGGCTTGTTTTTCTTCTTCTCATCTTCTTCTTCATTGCTTGAGTCATCTTTCTTTCCCTTGTACTTGTTCTTGAACTTGTGTTTCTTGGGCTTGGTGTATTGGTGTGCTAGATGACCAAGTTCTCCACAATTGTAGCAATCCATCTCGGAGATTGGCTTTCTTCTAGAGCTAGTGAAGAACTTCTTTTTCTTGCTATCAAAATTGATGCCACTCTTGTTAAGCTTCTTTAGCATCTTAGCGGTTCTTCTCACCATGAGAGCAAGACTTGCATCATCAATTTTATCATCACTTGAGCTCTCATACTCAAGCCTTGCTTTGCCCTTCTCTTGGCTAGCTTTGAATGCTAAGTCTTTTTCTTTCTTCTTTGTAGAGGATGAGCCATCTTGAGGTGTGATGTGCATGTACATCTCATGAGCATTGATCATTTCCAAGATTTGTGTTGGTGTAGCAGTGGAAAGATCACCTTGATGAAGCACAGTCACAATATGCCCATATTTATCAATGGGGAGGACACTCAAAATTTTTCTTACAACGTCGGATGGTTGCATTTGAGTGAGTCTAAGCCCATTGACTTCCTCTACAAGAACATTCAAACGGGAGTACATCTCATTAGCACATTCTTTAGGAAGCATCTCAAAAGAATTTAGCTTTTTCATGACAAGATGATAGCGTTCCTTACGCTCACTCTTTGTTCCCTCAAGGAGCGCACAAACATCCGACCATAGTGCATGGACGTCCTTGTGGTTCCTCACCCGGTTAAACACATCTTTACAAAGGCCTCTAAATATGGTGTTTCGAGCCTTTGCATTCCATTTTTCATAATTCACCTCATCGCCTTGTAGGTGCGTGGCATCCCGAGGTTTTGGGAAACCTTGTGAGAAACCTATCGCATAAACGTTTAGCAACCTATGTTCCAATCCTATTCTAGCATGACAATTCTATGAATGTAAATAATAAGAATTGAGTTGCTCAAAGTAAATGCTCAAAGTAAAGAGAGAAGGAGGAACGCGGCGATGTTTTGTCGAGGTATCGGAGAGTCGCCACTTCCCACTAGTTCTCGTTGGAGCACCCGCGCAAGGGTGTAGCTCCCCCTTGATCCGCGCAAGGATCAAGTGCTCTCTACAGGTTGATTCTTTGACACTCCATCGCGGTGAATCACCCACAACCGCTCACAACTTGAGTTGGGTCATCCACAAGCTCCGCCGGATGATCACCAAGCTCCCAATCACCACCAAGCCGTCTAGGTGATGGCGATCACCCAGAGTAACAAGCACGAACTCTCACTTGACCACGACAAGCCTAATAAGAAGGGTGGATGCACACTTTGCTACTCTTGCTTTCACTAATGAGGGCTCTCTTTGGGATTCTCAAATCTCAGTCACCTCACTAGAACCTTACTCTTTTTGACACTCTCAAAGGTGTTTCTCAGCTGTTGGAATGAGCAAAAATACCCCCCCACACGAATGGAGGAAGTATTTGTAACCTTGGTTGAAAAACAAACTGTTATGTGTCTCTGCGGGGTGACCGAACGCTCTAGTCATGTTGACTGGACGCTCCAGTCAGTTCACCCCGAACTCCAGTGTTTAAGTGGTGACCGGACGCTGGACAGCGTCCGGTCAGCACTGACCGGACGCGTCCGGTCGTGATTTTCCCTCTCTGGAACCTTACTGGAGTCCGCGTCCGGTCGCACTAGACAAAATCACCTTGATCAAATGAACTGACCGAACTCTGCGCCAGCGTCCAATCAGACCGGAACCAGCGTCCGGTCAGCATTTGACCCTCCATTCACTTTCAACTCTCAATCATATGTGAATGAAGTTTGCTCCAATGGATCTAAGGGCTTTTTAGGAGGTACCTAGTGCTAGATTTAGTAAGTGTGCACCACATCTAACTCACTAGACTCACCTAGGTCAAGCTACTCGTCCATACCCCCCTTAATAGTATGGCCAAAGGAAAAACAAAGTCCTAAACTACTCTAAGTGTCTCTTCAACTCCAAACGACACTTAGAACTAGTCCATTCTTAACCTTGTCGTCCATTCTTTGAAAACCGAAATGATTTCCGTCGTAGGGGCATGCCCACCATGATTGCCCAATCGATCTCCATTACCATGACATAACTTAATTGCCTCTACAAAACACACGTTAGTCATAGTAATCACGTATTGTCATTAATCACCGAAACCCAACTAGGGGCCTAGATGCTTTCAGGCAGGAAGCTAGGGTCGGTGGTGGCGCGGCTCCCTGTCATGGTCTCTTCGGCCGACGGCGGACTTCTCCTGGTGTCGCTAGGGTGGGGTGCGGCCGAGGACGCTGCGTGGCGCAGCACAGGATGGGGGTGCGCGCGTAGCGGGGGATGGCCACGGTGGCGAGGAGGAGTGGGACGGGCGGACGGACTCACGGCGCGTTGAAGCCATGACGTCGCGAGATGGAGTGGGGAGATTTTTTTGAGAGAGATGGGGGAGACGTAGGTGAGTAGACAGGCCTGTTCGGCAGGTAGGTAGCAGGCCCGGGAAGGCGGCATCGGAACGAACGCCCACACCACAGCACTTCTGTTACTATTATTCGGATTGTCTGGGCAGTTAAGGTGATTGGGGACACATTAGAGGACCCTCTCGCCTCCTTTTGAGCGTTTTAGCTTGCATATCGTGAGATAGCATTTGGGGAGACAAATTGCTGTCTTTATTTAAGCTTGAATATTGTAATAACAAACTGTGAGCTAAAACAAAATGGCCTTAGTTATAGTAACTCAAACAGTTTACAACTGCTATCCGTACAGGGTTTTGTGGCGGCGCAGCTTTTTTTTTTCTACAGACAAATACTGTACAGTGTAACCACAGCATTGTTACAGACAAATACTACTCGACTCGAGTGCGGTTGTTGGATTCGGCAAAAAAAAGGAGACGACGTCAACTTACATCTGGAATCAGACACAGCAGGTGCGCAGTGCGCTGGCGTCTGATTAACACAATTGTACAATCAAACTCACCCAATGTCAATGGTACTAGTAACTAGTAGAGTAGTAGTTCACGATCTTCTGAAACAGGCCAACCTGACCGCATCGGCCATCTCTTCAGATGGAATCACCCCGGCAGCTTTCATCTGATACATGACTCTGGTGGCCTCTCTGTACCGTCCGCCGCGAGCATACGCCATGGCAAGGGCGCTCCAGCACGCGGTGTCAGGCTTGCCACCGATTGCCTCGAACGCCCTGGCGGCATCTGCCAGCTGCCCTTGCTTGGCGTACATGTGTACCAGCCCAGAGCCAACGAACTGGTTCGTGTCCACGCCACGCTTGATGGTGTCGGCGTGCACCTGCTGCCCGCAGCACCCTTGGTGCTGTGACTCCGCGAACACGGCGAGGATGCTCGACAGGGAGAAGCTGCTCCTTGGAACGCCAGAGGACGCCATGTCCCTGAAGACGTCGATGGCCTCGTTCAGCTGGCCGTCTCGGTGGCAGCATGTGATCAGGCTCGTCCAGGCCGCCTCAGGGATTGGTTCCTGACAATGGTGCTGCATCATCATCACGAGAACTCGCCGCGCGCTTCTGTGAAGACCGCCGCTCTCGCAGTACAGCTGCACTAGCGAGCTACCAATGTCACCGCGGACCCTGCCTTTCTTGATGACGAGAGCGTGTACCTGCTCGCCGAGACGTAGTTCGCCCACACGAGTACACGACCGCAGCACGGCCACGATGACATGGGAACAGCAATCGCCATCCAGGACCAGCGTTCTGTGGCACATGTGGGCGAACAGACGCATTGCTTTACGATGGAAGCAACCATCCGAGTAGGCGGACACCATGGTCGCCCACGCCATGCCGTTCCTCGTGGGCATTCGGTCGAACACCCGGCGTGCAGCTTCGATATCCCCACACGCGGCGTATGAGAGCAGCACCCGGTTGGCGACCGGCGACGGGAGTCCGTCGGCGGCGCACCGCGCGGTTATGTGCGCGTGCACGGAGGCCACCTCCGCCGCGTCGGCGCACTCCCTGAGGAGGGATATGTAGATGTCCTCGTCGGGCGGGATGCCCAGCGCGTCCATCAGGCGGAGCACGTCGCCGGCCGCTGACGAGGACGGATGCGAGTGAGTAGCTTCCGGCGGTGGTTTCTTGGGGCAATCCTTGCCGCTGGTGGTGTCAGTGGCGGTGTTGGTGGGGACGGGGAGCTTCGGACGCGAGAGGAGAGGTGGCGGCGGTGGTTTGGCCGGTTTGCTTAGGGCCGGCAACCCTGATTTACTGGTGGACATGGCCGGGGTGGTGGCGTTCGCGGAGAGATGCCGGCCGCGACGAGAGAGGCGAGGAGTCGCGGTGGTGGCGCAGAACGGTTTCGCAACGGAGCAGCGCGCCATGTGCGAGGTTGGCTGAACCTGAACCTGAAGCACTGGAGCGAAGGGTTCGGGTTGTTCAAGGAGGAGTGAATATTTTGATTAGAATAGAACTAGAAAAAAAATTGGCGTGAATATTTTTAGTTCGGCCTGCCGATTTCTGCGCTGGATATTACTTTGGGCCCAATATAGAAAAACATGCCCAAGCCAGCCCAAAGTTTAAACTGTTTTTTTTCCTCCGTCTTTTCCATTTTCTTGATTCAATCCCAAACCCAAAGGGCAAAGTTGCATCCAAGCAAGGGGATGGTACTTACCCTAAAAAAAAAGCAAGGGGTGCTACTGAAACCTTCTTAACCAAATCATAGCCTACCTCATATCCATATTCCGACCCACCTTGCATCCAAAAATACCGCAGTAGTGTAGGAATTCGAAGGGTGTTTGTGTTTCTATAACATACCAATCCACCAAGCATCAAATGACGACTCAACTGATAACTAAACACAGCAATACACACATCGTGTTTGGTTACCAAAAAATTTGTAGAGTGGCAAAACAATCATTGACCAAACCATTTCTAGTTTATGTGCATTGTAACTAGAAATCACATTTCATTTTCAACTCACTGTGGCATGTGCACATGTCCCTCCTCATCGCCACCTGAGCACCTGTGGAGTAGGAGTCAATGGTGGTGTGGGGATCAGACACCTGCCTAACTATCGACAAGATGACATGTAGAATCAGTGAAAGAGGCAGCATCAACTGCTATCCAGATTCTCCGACTTCGTTCAGAAAAGTTACCAAGCTGTGTGTGTGTGTGGGGGGGGGACGGAGCAAAGGAATAAAACTTAGTTCTTGATTTTCCAACACCAATAATGAATAATGTTTTATTTTACTTAGTATGTAACATAGAATTTTAATGATAAGATTGATGTTTCCTCAAGAACATTATTGAGTCTATGAAAGTGGAATAATGCAATCCCATTATTGATCAAAATGGGTGGTCCTATTATCTAAAAGGAAGAAGGTGGTCTTGGTAGACTTGACTTTAAAGGTTCAAATGATGCTACTTTTTAATGAAGAACTTGCATACGTTTTTCAACCATGAAAATTTGCCATGGGTAAAACAAATCTCAGGCCCTGTTCGGCTGGTTGGAAAAACGACTGATGTTGATGCTGATTTGTTATGAGAGAAAAACACTGTTATTTCGTTGAAACGGTACGGCTGATAAGTTTAAGTGGACAGGGCCTGTCTCTTGCAATTTTTCTAAATAGTTGTTTCTTTCTTAAGAGATGATAGGAACTGTATTATGTAAATAGTTCTAGTTTTTAGTAGAGAATACAAATAAAAGGAAGGTTATAGAGATATCCATCAGGCTTTCAAGTGGCCTTGGAAATGCTATTGCCATCTTAAACGCAAGGTTTTATTTTGGCTTTTTGTTGAAGGATAGACTAAATATGATAAGAGTAAAATGATGAATATACAAAGTTAAAACTGTGTTCTATGCACCAATGCTTTTGAGGAAATTGTTCAACGACAATTCTTATACAGTGGCTTGGGTTTGCCCAAAATTGCTATGCTAATTTGAAATTACAAGTTCACCTCAATATATAGCCTATTCAAGCCAATGAATCTGGCCAGAAGTTATATATATATTTCCTTCAACATGGAATATTATAATGATCAAACTTTTGTTGCCACAAATATAAGAGAATACTTCTGATCCTCGTGCAAAAATATAAGGCGCACATGTATTCTAATATTCAAACTTCATAATTCTTTCACCAACATTTACTCCCTCCATCCCGAAATAACTGTCGTTTTTTTGTTTCCGTGCCGTAAGTTTGTCTGGATTTGTAGAAAATATGTGCAATATTTATATCTCCAAATAAATTTATTATGAAAATAGATTCAACGATCTATCTAATGATATTAATTATGTATCATAAATATTAATATTTTTTATATAAAATTAGTGAAAGTTATTTCTCGGAAAACGAGAATGACAGTTATTTAGGGACGGAGGGAGTAGTTTATTAGCATGAAAAAATGTACCACAAAAAAGTTGCATTGGATTTGTATTTAGAAATGCTTTTTAATAATCAAGCTTTTATTGCCACTAATGCTATATAATACAAGAAATTAACGATCAAATTGTGCATTCAAAGATTGCACAAATCAAATCGTATTTTATATTTTGGGATTGGGATGGAGAGAGCAGTCAAAGTGTGGTCTTAAAACAGTACCAAGTCAAATCATGGCTTATATTTTTGGATTTGGGACGAAGGGGGCAATGAATGATGCAGTATAAAAATTGGCTGACGTAATTAACATGCCAACTGAAGCTTACAAGTTATATATCCATGTGATACATCACTGAAAATCCAGCAATTTTGTTCGTACTTGGTTTCAGATTCATAAATAAGACCCAAGACGTGTCAGTCGGCTGCGGCTGCCCAGTTTTTGGATTGTTGAATGTGGCCGTGGTGTGCTAACTGTTTTGGTACTACCGTGACATGCTAACTGATGAGACTTTGTGTTTCTAGCTGGTTGCCTGGTCATCTCTTGACTAGGTCAGTGAATCTGTGCGTCAGAATATGCTTGCTGGTCACAAAAGTCAGATATGGCTAGCCTGCCTGCGAGGGTCACGAGTTGCTTCTGAATTCTGGTCAGTCCTTAGACTATTAACACTTAACAACGGGCCTTGAGAGCTCTATATAAAGCTTCCTCCATCGCCTCATGTTTCATCAGTTCATCACAGCAAGCTCAATTCACCTGCTTACAACACATTCTCATATTAGAACCACCATTTGCTTGCAAAGCTAGCTCCAATGGCGTCCCAAATCGAGAGCCACCGCTCCGGCGCAGAGGTCGTCAGCGGAGACGACGCCATGTGCAGGAAGAAGTCCGTGGAGCTGCTGGAGGAGCTCGGCCTCCCCAAGGGCCTCCTTCCAATGGAGGACCTCCAGGAGTTCGGGTACAACCGTGCCACAGGGTTCATGTGGCTGGTGCAGCCGAAGAAGGTGGAGCACACGTTCAAGAAGATCAAGCAGACCGTGTCATACGCGCCCGAGGTGACGGCCTTCGCCGAGAAGGGGAAGCTGCGGAAGATCACCGGCGTCAAGACCAAGGAGCTGATGCTGTGGCTAAGTGTGGTCGAGGTGTATGTTCCAAAGGCGTCGCCGGAGAACGTCACCTTTAAGACCGGCACTGGCCTCTCCGACAGCTTCAACGCCGCTGCTTTCGCACTCGGGGAGTAACCTGACCAATGTGGGTTGAAATAGTGCCAAGTGCATGATCGTATCATATAGTATCTCTTTCTTTCGTGTTAGCAACTACCGTTCGTGAAGAACAGGAGTATGTTTGTGCAATTTCCTTTTTTTTATTTTTTGAGTTTGTACCTTGTAATGTTTTGGCAAAATGAATTTCCCTTTAGAAGAAAGCTTTAATAGCTATCTTTTATGTTTGTATAAGTGCACATGCACCAGTGGCATTCTTGCTCTGTTTTTATGGCATTGTGATTTCATTGGATTTATTTTCATAATTTAATGTGCAAGTTGTCAGACTCGGTCGCTTCGCATGTACTAGTCTATGCTAGGAGTCTACATAACTTATATAGACGAAGTATGGAACCCACTAAAGATCATTAACTTTGATTTCTCTGCAACCACGTTAAGACACGTCACCTCAAAAATTAAGACAGTCCGATCTTAAGCACAATTTTGATCATGTCCGTAGTTTGTCATGGACATCTGATGTACGCTATTCTCCACTAACTTGCTTTTATTACTTCATGCAAGTGGTTTCAGTAGTCATGGACACGAACATCATTTGGCTTCTCTAACTCTTCCACTAAACACCAATGTAAATACCTCTGAAGGCTAATACTATATATATTCTCCTCCATGGAGCTGCTGGAAGAGCTCGGCCTCCCCAAGGGTCTCCTTCCCATGGAGGACCTCCAGGAGTTCGGGTACAACCGCGCCACGGGGTTCATGTGGCTGGTGCAGCGGAAGAAGAAGGTGGAGCACACGTTCAAGAAGATCAAGCAGACGGTGTCCTACGCGCCCGAGGTGACGGCCTTCGCCGAGAAGGGGAAGCTGCGGAAGATCACCGGCGTCAAGACCAAGGAGCTGATGCTGTGGCTAAGTGTGGTGGAGGTGTATGTTCTGGAGGCGTCGCCGGAGAACGTCACCTTTAAGACCGGCACCGGCCTCTCCGACAGCTTCAACACCACTGCTTTCGCACTAGGGGAGTAACCTAACCAATGTGGGGAGAAATAATGCCAAGTGCATGATCGTATCATATAGTATGTCTTTAATTTCTTTCGTGTTAGCAACTACTGTTCGTGAAGAACAGGAAGTATGTTTGTGCAATTTCCCTTTTTTTTTGAGTTTGTACCTTGTAGTGTTTTGGCAAAACGAATTTCACTTTATGAGAAAGCTGTAACTATCTTTTTTGTTTATATATGTGCATCTGCACCAGTTTCATTCTTGGTCTGTTTTCGTGGCAGTGTGATTTCATTGAATCTATTTTAATTTCATATTGTGCAAGTTGTTTGACTCAGTCGCTTCGTATATGTACTAGTCTATGCCACCATTCTAGCTACATATAGGAAAGAAAAACTCGAGTTGAGGACATATAGGAAAGATTTTCAGTTTTGATGTCAAATAAGAAATGAGCATTATTTTCATGGCCAAATAGAAAATTTTCTCCTGAAATAATGCCAGAGTGCGCACCCGGCCGGCACCGGCAGCGGCGGTACTTAATTTTGATAGCTTCCAAGTAATTAAGTAGCTATATCTATCAATTTGTAATTCTTGGGCGAAGCCATTCATCCCATTGCCCACAGGGCTGGGCTAGTAATTTCTCCTTTCGCTGGTAACACCCGGCAGAGACAGACATCAACCTAGCTGTACTGTCCTATTTGGTCTACGAAGTAGAGTATGGGCCTGTTTGGCATAGCTCACAGCAACTTCTGCTCTTTTTTTTTTGTCAAACACTCATTTCCAAAACAATTTCATGGGTGAAGTTGTTTTTCTCTCCTTCTCACAAAGACATGAGTTGGAATGAAGTTGAAAAAAGTAGCTTATCCTAATTCTCTCACTCGTTTCTCTCCCTCATCCATGCATAAAGCTACAGTACTTATTCGTTTTTATTTGGTAATAATTGTCCAAATATTGACTAATTAGGCTCAAAACGTTCGTCTCGTAAAGTACAACCAAACTGTGCAATTAGTTTTTTATTTCGTTAACATTTAGTACTCCATGCATGTACCATAATTTAATGTGATGGAGAATCTTCTTTTTACATAGTGTTAAAATTGGTATTTTGGATGAACTAAACAGGGCTAATTAACGTTTGTTTTTTGGTGGGATGTGGCCAGGACCAGATACCGACCACACATTTGCACATGTTCACAAAAGAAAGCAATTAAAGGCCCAGACGTATGCATTCAGGGACTACATATATACGTTCACAAAAAGGCAATGTTTTTAGAAAAAAGAACACATCTCAGAAAAAAATACATTTATATATGTAGTTTTTCAAAAAGCACAATACTACGCATCTAGTCCCACACATTTGCACATCTTCTCTATACTGGCCCGCATTTTGCTTCTCTGTACATGGCCTGCATTCTTGCATGTTAAAAAAAAGATAACATGTGTCAAAAATTTCTTGCTGGTAGGAGATAGAAAAAGATGCTTATGTTCCTGGAGCTTCTATTGGTGATGAGCATGTTGCTGCTAGTAATGCTGTAGTGGATTTAATTTTTCTAAGCAATTTAAGTGTCATTCAATAGGCAACAGTGTCTTCCTAATTAGGCAATTTTTGTATTCTAAAAAAGCAAGTATAGTGTCTGTGTTCATTTGCAACCCACAGCCCCACCCCCAACTCCCAACCCCCGGTTTATTTGCAAAAATACATATCAAACAGAGGCAGGGTGATGATATCAATAACTAGTTTTTGTACAAAAGGCAGACTAATTCAATGGTTGAACAGAAAAGGATCATCATAACAGTAGAAAAAAGGAAAAAAGAATGATATGTGAACAACAATATGTCACCTGCATTAGTCAGCACCCCCACTCCCAATCTGCACTTCCCAACTCGAGAAAATGGAATCTCAGGCTTCCGGCCTAGTCATCTGCGCATGGTTAAAGTCACTTAGAGCACATAGTAACACTTGACGGTAAAAAGAGTAGAGATTATAGGCACATTTTTGGTGTTGAACACAAATAAATTTGCCACCAGATTACTAATAACTTGCCTGACTAATGATATTAAATTGCTTAACTAAATTTACATGCACATTTTTTGGTGGTACTGTATTGCTCGTCTATACTTTCATCTAGCCTGCTGCACACTCCACCTTTGCTGCCTTCTCTATCTACAGTAACAACATGGCAGCAGTATGGCAATAAGTAGTAGCCGATCTCAGCCCGATACTGCCCAACTGTAGCTAGTAGTGGCTATAGTAGTAGCAGGTGTACTAGATGTGGTTACAGCTTGTTTAGCAATGGAAAGCAGTTTAATTTGCTGCACTCCAGCAGAGGTGTCCTTGTGCTGTATTCTGTGCTCAAGTTCAACTCTACCTCCAATTGTGAGCTGTGAGAGGGTGATTGTAACGTGATAAATAATTAGGCTGAGGCACGAGTACTTACACCATGCCCAAAAGAATGTCTAATTGCTAATTATTCAGCTCTAAATGTTGATTATTGACACCTCCATAAAACCTAACACCAGCTGCATTTCCTTAGGCAATTTAAGTTTCATTCGCTAGGCAACAATGTCTTCCTAAATAGGCAATTTATGTATTCTGAAAAAGCATAGTGTGCTGCACCATATCTAGTAGACTCATAGATAAGAAAATAACCAATCACTGGTAGTCACCTTTCACATACACCGTATCTAGTAGGCTCGTAGATAAGAAAATGACTTGCTACTACTAAATCACAGATGCAACATAATGGTCCATGCCAACATACCACGCTAGCTTGCAAAAATACAAGATACTGCAACTTCTGCACATTGGCCGGTATCTCATTGGCAATGTCACGGTCGATGATGGGGAAGAATGGTGGCCAGTTCTCCTCCATCGGCACGCTAACTGCACCAAGCAAAATTGGGGGAAATGCCAATGATCACACATCGGTATTCAGTCTAAACAAAGTGACAACTCAAACACCACTGACAGTCTGAATAGGTAGCAAAATAGGTCCAGGGATTTGCCAGTGCTAACGCTACGGTGGCATCTAGAAAAAATAAATTATAAAATTAAAATAAGTGTAAAGATCTTTCGGCAAAGAAACTAGAGATTAGAAAGATAAACACTTTTGGAGATTGCAATTGACCTCATAATAGCATCAATCATCAGTTGATCAACACTTTTCGAGTATAAAGGCATGTTTGCACATGGATCAGTCACAAAAATATCAGAATCCAGCGCTCTGTGGTACTCTTCTTACATCCTTGTCCTCTAGTGAAACTAATCCAAGACTTAGCCTTGCATCAACAATTTCTAATGCTCTCTTATTGGGCATTGCCTTCCTGGATGGAGGTAGAGCAACCATGACATTGTTCTCTTGATTTCGCTTTGCCTGGCCTAGCCACCGGAATGCAGCTTTACTTGTGTCCGCTTGCTACGTCTAAAACAAACGTGCCCCATTACAGTTAAGTACAAAAGGGAAATAACCCGAACCATACAGGTTGAATTCAGTCCTCTCACCTCCATGGTGAGGATGAGCTTGACAAAATTCATCAGCATCGCCCAATTTTTCATCATCCGATAACTTTGCAATCACAAAACCCAAATAAATTAATACACCAACAGCTGGTATTTTGTAACAAGGCCAATGTTATGCAAATCCAGTTTAAGAAGACTAACGTTGGCAGTAGAGGAGTCCTCCATTGGCAGTAACACCGGTGATCTGGACAACTCCCTTAGCGCCCTCTCCTGATCAAGCCAAACACGATTGAAAAAAAGGGAAAATTATGGGCAATGAGGTAGCAAAGGAAGCTAAGATGGTTGGGATTCAGAACTGCAGGATCGAATCCAGACATTGAGTTCCTTCAGCGCAGCAGGGACTCCCCCAAATCCAAGCCATGCATATCGATTCTATAAGCTGTCCCCGAGCTAAAACAAGATATGCACATCACGGTTCGATAGAAAAAGAATGCGAAATCGCATTCCAAGAAGGAAACCACTGTCAGTATGCTGCTTAATCAGAGAGAGACAGACAAAGCAAAGATCAGACGCTCCAGAGCCGGGCGGACATGTACGCAGTGGGGCTAGGCATGGGCGGCGAGCCGAAGGTGGAGCCGGAGAGGCTCACCCCACGTGGCGTCATGGACATGTGCGCTCCCGTGTCTGCCTCGGGTGACCTCCTCGCCCTCGCATCGTACGGCGACTGGCCCTGGGCGTTTGACTTCCGGGCGCTCGAGACGGAGGTGGCCGTGTTCCACGCGGCTGACCCATCCCGCAATGCCGTCGTGGCCGCACGCGCAGGCGCAGACACGGCGGCTGCGGCCGTGGAGGCATTGTGGACATGTGCCCCGCCATGTCCTCCTCGGGCGACCTTCTCGCCATCGCGTCGTACGACGACTAGCTCTGGGCGTTTGACTTTCGTGCGCTCGAGACAGAGGTGGCCATGTTCCGCGTCGTGGAGCTCGTCGGGGCTAGGGTTGCAGGGGGAAGGAGGGAGGAGCAGAGGAGGGGGAGGCCGGTGCCGGCGGCAGAGGGGCGGCCGGCGGCGAGGTGGAGCTTGTCTGGCTAGGGTTGGAGGTGGCGAGGTCGGGTGCCTGTGCGACCGAGAACTAGAGATGGTGATGGGATGGGAGCCGTGCGTCCAAAACACGGCTGGTTGGAAAGAAGTCATTACCATGAAGTAATCAAAATAAGGTAGCTTTAGTTAGAGGAGAATAGCTGACAGCTAGTCGCGACAGTGCCGCATGAACCATTTGTAAATGGCCATTAAACCATTTGACAAACAACTCACATATGTAGATGACTTTATATGTGTGTAACACTGTAACAGGAGTAGTACGTGCTATGCAAGTAGCGCATGCCAAATCTGAAGGAGAAAGTTCAAGGATGTTTAACGTCGTTTCGGCTAATTAATGGTATATACGTGTACGTACGTTGCGCGAATTAACTCACTTGTACCGTTCCAAATTAAGTAATTAAACATCACTTGTATGATCTGACTGATGCACAAACAGAGTCTCACATGATATATATTATATAAATAAATAAACTAGTAGTATAAGAACCAAGGTGTGGTTGCACACACCAGAGAGGAGAGAGCTAAGAATTCCCACCATGGCGGCCTCTCTACAAGCTCTCGCCTGCGCCACGCTCCTACTCGTCGTCCTCGTCGTCCCGCACGCGTGCATGGCGGCCTCCAATAAAACGACGCTGCAGGACAGTTGCGAGAGCTACGCCGGCGGCGACCGGAGCAGCTTCGACTACGACTACTGCGTCTGGACACTGCAGCGCGCGGACAAGGAGGGCGCCGCCACCGCCGACGCGCTGGGCCTGGCCACAATCGCGGCGAGGTTCGCCAGGGCGACGGCCAGCGCCACGCGGGCCAAGATCGCCGCGCTGCTGCGCAACGAGACGCTCCCGCGCGCGCGGCGCGACTCCCTGGCGGCCTGCGCTAGGGAGTACGCCGCCGCCGTGCGCCGGCTCGGGCACGCCGTGTCGGCCGCGCGGTCGTCTGGCGGGAAGAACCTGCAGCGCGCGCAGACGCTGCTCGCGGAGGCCACGGGCGCCCCCGCACGCTGTCAGGCCGCGTTCGCGGCTGCACGACAGGACTCGCCGCTGGCTGACGGGGACTTCGTGCTTGACGACCAGATCGAGTTGGCGATCGCCATCTTGCCGTTGCCGCGGCCGTCGCCGCCGGCAGGTAGGATGTGATGTGAACTATGGACGTATACGCGCTGGTTTTTGGTATGGATTTGAGCAATAAAATCTTGACAGCTAGCATGCGTGTGATGTTGTTAATTGTTCTAACTCTGCTTCGTAACGTGCCTATAGAGAGAGCAAATAGAACACTAGAAGAAACGGCAGCACCAGTGCCCGGACGTCCGTACGCCTGCGTCCGTTCGGACGACCGTGGCTGCTCCGCCCTATTTGCTCAGATTCGCGTGCCGCTTGCGCCAGCTCCGTTTCCCGTGCTCGCATCCAAACCGTCCGCTTCAGATCCACTGCCCATGCTGCTCGGATGACTCGCCCTCGCCTCTTCCACAACAGCACTGCGCGGCCTGTGCCTCATGGACACTAACGTGGTCTGCACTTGCAACATGAAACACTCGAACGCAGCATATATTTGAAACAGATGAAACATTTGGGATATACTCTTGCAACATGTGTGTGAAACATATGCAACATCCAGATAAAACAATCGCAACATGAAAAAACACTTACTGCAACATAAGACTGAAACATCTAAAACATTTGGAATATACTGTTGCAACATATGTGTGAAAACAAATGCAACATCTAGATAAAAACGATTGCAATATACATCTAGAAACAGATGAAACATTTTGAACAAACGCTTACAACATACTTCTCAAACACTTGCAACATATGCATCATGTGCAACATCCCCCAATCTACTTTGACAACATCCATAAGAAACAACTGCAACATACCTTTGAAACAACTGAAACATACATTTGCAACATAGAGGAGAGGAAGCCTGGGCTGCTCGATTCCAGCCATCGGGGTCGGAGTCGGCGGCGAGCGTCGGCGCGCGAGCACCACCGCCACTAGTGCCACCAGTATTGGGCTTGGCTCAGCTGCGACGGTGGGGGATGGGGGGCGAGGAGCTAGCGCCATGGCCACCGGGGTGGGGAGTTCAGTCGCTGGGGTGAGAGAGGGCGCCACTGGGGGTGGGGAGGGCGCTGCGCTGGGGTGGATGAGAGCCGCCCACTCCCTGCAACACAGTCGTGGCACTTCCATGTATCTCACCATGGACGAGCTCATTACTAGAGAGGACACTCCCACCACGAAGGAGTTCGCGAATGAGGAAGAGTGAGGGACCCCATCGGAGGATCCATGCTGCGCCACGCCGTCTCAAAGTGTTGTCATCTTGAAGGGCTACTGTGCCATGGGAAACAAGAGAGAGAGAGGAGGGGAGGGGAGAGGTCAACGAGTGTCTATTTTGGTGAATACTAGTGAGAACTAGAAAGAGGCTGATGTGTGGTGAAAAGTATGGATAAGAATGGTGGTTAGGGAGGAGAGAGACCGATATTGAGAGAGCGTCAGGCATACGTCTGATATTTTTAATGGCGTCCGGACGCTCGCACAGTAAAAGAAAACAAAGGAACAGATAATATTCATATACATTGTCCTGGCATCTCAGATCGAGATTATTGTAAGTTTGTAACCGATGAACACATCACAGTTTGCCTAGCTAGACACATAAAATCTACAAGATAATAAGCGCAACTCATAGTACTTGATTGATTGAGTTAGTAAATCAACATGAATCAAGACAAATAGATGTATTTTCCGACGATGGGAAGGCCTACTAAATTTGTAGAACAGCAACAGCTCCATAGACGACGGTCGCGACAAGACCTAGAAACAATGAGGTCCAAGCTGACGAGCCCGCATACATTGTTGCTGGAAAAGTTGCATGTTCGAATGAGAAACCAGCATCATCACACCAAAAACTTACGTCATCACCCCAGATCAATCTGTTGCTCACCTGACGACGACGATGGCGGCGGCACCGCGGCAGTAGTAAACGTAAACTCAGGCGTCAGCGGCGGGAGCGGCTTGCCTGCGAGAAAGAAGAAACAAGAACACGATCACAATTTTGACATGCCCATATCATACATATATATGACAACAAAAGTCCATTGCTGTTATAAGCTAGCTGAATAACAATCTCACGATCGATGGAGTTATGTATATTACTGATCGAACCTGAGCAGTTGCGGGTGATGGACATGAGGACGGAGGCGTCGCCGAGGCACTTGGCGGTGACGTTGACCACGGCGCGGGTGTTGTCGTACTCGGGGCCGATGAGCCTGGCGGCGTTGCCGCGCACGACGTGCATGAGGCAGCACGGCTGCTCCGCCACCGTGCGCTTCACCTGGATGCAGCACGGCGTCGGGATCTCGTCCGACCGGTGCTCAATGAAGTCCAGGCACGACAGCAGCCGCTGCAGCGATGGCGCGCACGTCGCCTCGTCAGGCGCCGCCGCCGCCGCGGGTGCGGCGAACGCTGTGGCGGCGAGGAAGGAGAGGAGGACACAGGCGATGATGATGGTCGGCTTGGACCGCGGCGGCGCCATGCCGTGCGCAGTACGTGGCCGCATCAAAAGATTTGGTTCTCGTTATATGCATGTATACGTAATGGTCAGTTGACATATATATAGCCGTGGAATCTGATAGGGTGCTGACACGGGTGAGCGTACGTATTAGGTCTAGTCTCTTTCTCGAAGGTGCCTTGTTCTGTGGTTTGACACGTCGCAATCTCAAACGCTAAACTCCAATCCAAAATACAAAATACAGGGCTGTCGTTGAAAGGCCCAATTCCAGTTCCACGAGCGAACGTTCGCTCCTTTCGAGTCTAGCGATCGATTCTGTAAGGGACCGTGACGTACAAGACGATGGTGAATTAGAGAACTTTAAACTCTAACTCTAAACTATGGTTTTTTTTTCTAACCTTAACAAAATCTATGCAAAAGCTAAACTATCTAAATGTGCAACTACGATTTTGCTAGTTTATTGCTATCTCTACCGCAAAAAGAAGTTATGCAAACAATGTAAATGCGGAAGCTAAAGAGTAATGTAGAGATATGGAAACTCCCGTCGATGACTCCGGTAGTTTTACCGAGGTATCGAGAAGCGCGTAAGCTACCCCCTAGTCCTTGTTGGAGCCCCTCGCAAGGGCCAAGCTCTCGGTCGGGTAACTCCGTGGATAGCCCCGGGCCTTCCCCACGCGCAAGTGGGTCTCCGGTGTACCTTCCGGCAAGCCTCTCCTGGACCCCTCTCCGCCGTCTTCACTATCAAGCTTCCGGCCAAAACGCCGCGGGCCTTGTTCCCTTCGGTACATGGTGGCGGCCATACCACAAACGCGGTTGGTGTGATCTCGCAAGACTACAAGCCCCTCTGATGTACAATAATGGTGCGCGCAAACACCGAGTGATAAGAGGTATGCAAACCTCACTAAACACTAGGCCTAAACCTAGAGCAAACGCATAAGCGGTGCTCTAATCAACCTAAGCACTTCGCAAAGCACCTACACTAATCACCTAATGAATCATTAAGCACTATGCAAGTGGAGATCACTAAAATAGTGTATCAACACCTGTATCAACACCATTGGTATGTTTTCTCAGCTCCACTATAATCAAATAGTCGGTTGGGGGGGTCTATTTATAAGCCCCATTGAGAAAGTAGCCGTTGGGGGCGAAACCCAGCTTTCTGCTACTAACTGGACGCTGCTGTCGCCTTGACCGGACGCGTCCGGTCGTCCCGACTGTTGGAGCGCGCACGTGTTGATCGGACTCTGGCCGAGTCCGGTCACACACGATCGGACGCGTCCGGTCGCGCTGGCGCCGCTCTGGAACATCTCTGGACTCGATAGGACGCTGCACTCTGTGCGTCCGGTCGTCCAGTCTCGCTGCGTCCGGTCATGCTGAGAATATTGCCGTGATGATGAACAATGAAGTTAGTGCATCCGGTCACTGCCTCGCTCAGCCTCCGGTCGCTGCTGCTGACGCCTGCTGTTGCCGAGCAACTGATCGGACGCGTCCGGTTGTCCCGAGGGCTGCGTCCGGTCACTTCTGTGGTGCTCGTTTCTTCGCGATCTTGCGTCCGGCTTGGTTCCTATCTTCGTGCTTAGACTTGGCTTGATAATTTGGATCCTCTCTTGTGCTTCTAGGGTCTTGCTTATGGTGTTGATCGTCGGATCATCATGTTGCCTTCGTCCAAGTCACGTCTTGCACCCTATTGAACTACAAAACAATTACTTACAAATTTATTAGTCCAATTTGGTTGTGTTGGTCATCAAACATCAAAATCTAAAGTAAATGGGCCTTGGGTCCATTTTTCTTACAATCTCCCCCTTTTTGGTGATGGATGACAACATGACTAAAGCAAGCAAATAATAAAAATTTTGGAATTTAAAAACTATCTACTTGCTAGGATGTAATGCAAAGGGCAAGGTTATATGATGCTATACCACATGTAAACATCTTTGGAAACTTATCTTGCCCTGATAAATGTCCCCATGTGGCATTATGGATTTAAGCCTCTCCCTAACTCCATAATCCACTATCCTCTCTTTCTCGGACCATTACCACTTGTAAATTATTACCATTACCACTTGTATATTATTATGATCGGGCTTGCTTTTGGTCCTGCAAATTCTCCCCCTTTGGAATCAAACACCGAAAATAAAGACAGTAGTAGCACAAGGGAGGGTCAAACTTTGTGATCCTTTATATGTGGAGTGGAATAGTTCACAAAATTTGACTCTCACATTACACAAACTAAGCTCCCCCTAAATATATGCATACATATGATGGAGAATGTAGTTTATGCATAATTGGCAAATTAATGCTCAAGAGAGTTTAATCTATATAATGTATAGAGAAAGCATATAAATACCAAAGTGAAATCAACATGATTATATCGGTTTAGAAATACCACATGTGAAAACCAATTTGATTTATACCACTTACAATAGGTGGTGGATATTTGAAGTATGATGCTTAACTCCGGGGACTCCATTTTCCTTGCAATGAGACTACTACACACATGATAAGCTTGAAAAGGTATTAGTCTCAAAGCATCCAACTTATAGATTAACCTCCCCCTAAATTTATGCACACAAGTATGGAATACTTGTAGGAGACGTGCACATTGATTTTAGAATAAAAAATACCACTTGAAAGATGACATCACATGAATGTGAGAATCATTTTCAAAAGTGATGTTCGGGAGAAATTATCTATAATTTGGACTTTGTCACATATTAGATAAACAATTGTAAAACAAGTTATGTGCCGTGCTCCTAAACAATTTAAACGATGTAGGTTTGCTCCAAGAGTAAAAGTGATACCGAGCAAGCCTACCATAAGACATACCTAGTGTATGCAAGACAAAAGATTAAACATGCAAATGCAAACCTAAGCATGAAAAGGAACTAGATGCTAATTGAAATTACAAGGAATTAAATCTAGTTACCTAATATGGGAAGGGGAATCTGGGTCCATAGTGTTCACTAACCCACTTGGCAATTACCTTGTCCATAATGATGCACCCCATGAAATGCACCCATACTTTGCCAAGTCTCCAAATTCCTCAAAGTCCATCAGACTTCTCACTTCCCTTTCGGAATCCAAACCTTCTTGGTGCTCTTCATGTTGGAAATGATCTCCTTTGGCACCCAAATGCGTTTGGCCCCATTGTTGGCTTGCTTGTTCACCTTGATGGCCACCACCTTGTCATTTTTCTTCTTCTTCAGGAGATAAGGTGTGGAGGCCTTTTTGTCCACCTTGTTGGTGTAGGTGTTGGAGAGCTTGCTTGTTTACTTTTTGTTTTTCTCTTTCTTCTTTTCTCCTCCCCCATTCTTCACCTTGCACTCATATGACTTGTGGCCTTCCTTGTGGCATACATAGCAAACCACGATTTGTCCTTCATCAAGCTTCTTTACTTCCTTGACGGTGTTATCTTGATGAAGTTGGGCTTGCGACATTTTGCCTATTACTTGAGTCAAGTCCTTGGTAAGGCGAGCCACTTCTTGCTTGAGTTGCTCATTCTCCATTATAACCTCTTGTGTGCATGTATCTACAACAACTTTCTCAACACAAACTTGGTTGCACAAGGGTGAATCTAAACATAAATCATTGCAAGAAGTAGAGGCATCCTTTTTAGGCATGTTAAAGATAGAACTTTTCTTTTTAGGTGCCTCGGTGGAGGTAGTACCGACAGCTTCAAGATTAGCAACTTTATTAGTTAGCTCATCACAATATTTGCACAAAGTTTTCATTTTAGCAAGCAAACTTTTATAAGCATCTTGTGAGCTAGCTAACTTTTTCTTTAATTTTTCATTTTTCTTTATAAGTTGCTCATCATTGATTGTGCAATTATTTGTGTTTGCACTAGTCTCAAGTTGCTCAATGTTAGTAGATAGCTCCATATTAAGATTGGCAAAAGTTTCATATTGTTCATGCAAAGTAGCATAAGCTTGTTGTGAGCTATCTAGTTTTTCTTTTAATTTTTCAAGCTTCTTTTGTTGACTAGTGCAAACTTTAGTAAAGTTAAGATTTTCTTGCACAATTTCATCATAAGAAGGTAGCTTATCATCACTATCACTATTATTGTCACTATCACTAGGGATATGCTTTTTGTTACCTCATGCCATAAGGCAGACACATGAGGTGCTTGATGATGAGTGCTTGTGCCCTCGCCTCTTGTGACGGTCTTCTTATTCACTTGAAGAATTATCCCATGACCTTATTGATGTGAGGGCTTTGTCCTTGCACGCCTTCTTCTTTGTCTTGGGTGTAGGCTTGTTTGGACAAACTTCCACAAAGTGCCCCAACTTGCCGCATCCATAGCATCCTTTCTTTCTTTGCTCATTTCTTTGATTGGTGAAGATGAAATCTTGAATTTGGATGGGTATACCCTTGACATTGAGCCTTTGGATCATCTTCTCCACCTTGTTGATAAGTTTGATTGATTCTTCATCAAGATCAGAGGTGGAGGAGGAAGAGTGATCATCATCACTTGAATCATCATCATCATCATCATCATCATCATCATCATCTTCTTCTTCTTCTTCATCTTCACTTGAGGAGCTTGAGTTTGAGCTTGTCTCAACTTGCTTGCCCTTCATCTTCTTTTTCTCACTACATGTGAGAGCTTTGCCTTTGCTTGATGAAGAGGCTTCTTCTTGACTCATCTTGCATGACATTTCAAATACTACTATCTTGCCAATGACTATGGCTAGAGTCATGGTGCTCAAGTCCTCCATGTTGTGAAGGATGGTTATGATGCTTGCATATTTCTTTTTTGGTAGCACGGAGATGATCTTCCTCATGATGTCCGCATCACCTAGCTTTATTAGTCCTATAGAATTGATCTCATTGATAATTAGATTCAAACTAGAATACATATCACGAACAAGCTCATCATCATTCATTTCAAAAGAATCATAACTTTGTTGAGCTAGGTAATGTTTTTGCTCACGGACATTACTTGTGCTGTCATGGAGCTCTTGGAGTTTTAACCAAATTTCATGTGCCGTATTTAAAATGAACACTTGGTTAAACACATCCAT